ATTGAACACAAAAATTCATATAAAACAAAATTTCTCATCTGATAAAAGTATAACTATAAAAATATACTTATTGAACAAAAGAAATTAAATAAATTAAAAATTCTCATTTAATAAAGGTCTAATATTCAAAACATACACATTGATCACAAGAAAACAGATAAATAAAACAAAATTTATCATCTCATTAAGTCTAATATCCAAAATACACATATTGAACACAAGAAATCAGAAATATAAAACAAATATTCTCATCTATTATTGGTCTCATATCCAAAATATGCATATTTGTGGTATTATTCTAATTGTACTGAAATGTGATTTTGATTGTATGTTAATAAATAAAGTTGCCCGGGGGTCAGAGCTATTAGAGCCATAGAAAGAGCATGGCGGTGGTGGCACACGTCTTTAATCCCATAGGTCTCTGTGTGTTCAGGGATACAGCCAGCATTGGAGACATATGCCTTTAAGACCTAGAGGGCTGTACCTACACACAGTGACGAGGCAGTCACGTGTTTGGGTTTACAACCAATGAGAAGGCAGAATGACTTTGAAACGACTGACACACAAGGAAATAGCTCTCTTTTCGGGAAGCTGGGACACCGCAGGAGGAAGGGTGAGATTTTAGCTCTGAGCTCTGACCTCTCAGCTTTCTCTTTTACATTGGTTCTATGTTTCTTATTTAATAACACAGTTGGATACATCTACACATATTGAACCCAAGTAAGTAGAAATATAAAACAAAATTTTCACCTGACGAAGATCTAATATTCAAAATATACATATTGAAAATAGATAAATAAAACAAAAATTTTCATCTGATAAATGTCTAGTATCAAAAATATACACATGGAACAAAAGAAATCAGAGAAACAAAACAGAAACTCTCATCTCATAAAGGTCTAAAATAAAAAAATGTACTTATTGAACACAAGAAATTAAACACAACAAAAATTCTTGTTTGATAAAGGTCAAATATCTAAAACATACATATTGAACACAAGAAATCAGATAAATTACACAAAACTTATCATCAGATAAAGCTCTAATATACCAAATATACATATTGAACACAAGAAATCAGAAAACCAAAATGAAAATTTCCTTGTGATAAAAGTCTATTATCAAAAATGTACTTATTGAATACAAGAAAGCAAATAAAACATCTGATAAAGGTCTAATGTCCAAAATATACATACATATTGAATCCATGACATCAAATAAAGAAAATAAAAATGCTCATCTCTATAAAGATCTAATATCAAAATATACATATAATTAGAAAA